GAATTGTACCCCACATCTTTAAAAGTAAAAAAAGATATATAAATGGCCAACAGATAGATAAAAATAAGGTCATTAATGATCATTAGGGAAATGCCAATTAAAACCACAATAAGGTAATACCTCATATATTTTATAATGCCTATTATCAAAAAGATGAAACAAAAGTGTTGTTGAGAGTATGGAGAAAAGTAAACCCTTGTGTACTGTTTGTGGGACTGTATATTAAGACCGCTTTTATGAAAAAAATATTGAGGTTTCTCAGAAAAACTAAATATAGAATTATCACATGATCTACTAATCCCACTTCTGGGTATATATACAAATAAATTGAAATCAGTATGCTATAGCAATATCTGTACTCTCATGTTTATTACAGCATTATTTATAATAGCTAAGATATTGAAGTAACCTAGGTGTCCATTATCAGATGAATGGATAAAAAATGTGATTTAAATACACAATGGAATACTATTCAGCCTTATAAAGGGAGAAATCCTGCCATTTGCAACAACACGAATGAACCCAGAGGACATCATGCTGAATAAAATAAGTCAGACACAGAAGGAAAAATATTGCATGATCTCATTTATATGTGGAATCTGAAAATTTGAATTCACAGAAGTAGAGGATAGAATGATGGTTACCAGAGGCTGGGGGAAGGAAGTGAGTAGGGAAAAGGAAGATGTTAATCAAAGGGCACAAAGTTTCCATTAGACAAGAGGAATAAGCTTTAATGATCTATTGCACAGAATGGTGACTATATAATGAGGCATCTTACATTACATTATAGATTACATTTTAAATGTTTTTGTAGCCCCCAAAATGATAAGTATGTGAAGTGATGATTTCTTAATTAGCCTGATTTAATCATTCCATATTATAAACATATACCAAAACACTACCCTGTACCCCATAAATATATATAATTATTATTTATCAATTTTTAAAAACATAGTAGTAGGCAACTAATGGGATCAGGGCTTGCTTTGGGGGTAATAAAACTGTTTTGTAACTTAATAGAAGTGGTGGTTGCCCAACGTAGTGAAGGTACTAAATGTCACTGAATTGCACTCTTTAAATCGTTAATTTTGTGTTATGTAAATTTCACCACAATACAGAAAAAAGTGGGAAAAGAAGGAAATTAAAATATAAGCAGAAGACTGGAAGAAAAATAATTGCAAAATATATATCTGATAAATGACTTGTATCCAGAATATACAAAGAAGTCTTAACCTTGAAAATAAGATGAAGAATCCAGTCACAAAAGGTGAAAATAATTGAACAGACATTTTGCAAAAGAAGATATAAGAATAACTAATAAGCACATGAAAAGATTCTTGACATCATTTATTATTAGTAAAATGAAAATTAAAATCACAATGAGATATCATTTCATATCAGGTAGAATAGCTATAATAAAAAAGACAAGAAATGTCAATAACAATGTGGAGAAATGGTAATCCTCATACAGTTAGTGGGAATGTAAAATGGCATAAGCACTTTCAAAAATATTTTGGTAATATAAAGAAGGACAAAATCATGAACTTCACAGCAACTTGGGTGGACTTAGAGGCTATAATACTGAGTGATCTATCACAGAAACAAAGAAGCCAGTATCACATGTTCTCACTGATAAGCAGACCTCAAACAACTATTGTAATACTATAAGAAAGGGATTGGCAGTAGTAGGAAACTACCAGGGGAGGGTGGAGGCGGGATTGGCAGCAGTGGGAAACTGCCAGAGGATGGGGGGCATACCCCATCAACAAGGGTACCTGCATAATGAACATTTGTATACCTAACTCTGAATTGTACCCCACATCTTTAAAATAGATAATTTTTAAAAAGAAATAAATATAATTGAATCAAAAAAAATATTTTAGCAATACTCAAAAAATGAAATCTAATTTAACATATGACTCAGCAATTCTTTTACGTATTTACTCATGAGAAATGAAAATAAAAATTCACGTAAAAATTTGTGCACAATCTTCTTAGCATTATTATCCATAATATTGGATACAGCCAAATATTAAGTGTAGCCAAAAAATTTGAAACAAACTTTTCCACCAACTGCTGAAGGTGGTATAGCCATACAATGGAATGCTCTTAAGCAATAAAATGGAAAAAATTACTAATACATTCTACAAAATGAATGAACCTCAATAACATTGTGCTAAGTGAAAGAATCCAGACACAAGAGCCTGCATATTGTATAATTCTATTTTTTTGGAATATCCAGAAAAGGCACATCTGTAGAGTCAAAAAATAGACCAATGGTTGCCTGGGCTTGGGAGGTGGTCAAAGAGTTGAGGGTGGAAATTAACAGTAATTAACAGGATAGTTCTTTGGGGTGATACAAAGTTCTAAAACCATTTTATGTGAAAGCTGTACAGCTTGGTAAATTTATTTTAAATTGGGTATATTAAGCCGGGCTCGGTGGCTCAGCCTTTAATCCCACGCCTTGAGAGGCTGAGGTGAGTGGATTGCCTGAGCCCATGGGTTCGAGACCCACCTGGGCAACTTGGCGAGACCTCATCTCTACAATAAATTAAAAATCAGCCAGGCGCGGTAGCGCGTGCCTGTA